ATATTTTTTATTTTCCTCTGTTTTACTCCTAAATTAAAACAAAGAGTAAGTTTGACTAAAACTTGATTGGGAAGACTAAGGAAGTAAAAAAAAAACATGAAAATAAACAAGATAACAGTATATATTTGAAAACATGTTAAAAATTATGTAAACATAAACTTAATACAAAAATTATAATTAATTAGATTAAAATAAACATAAATTTATGATAACTCAAACATGAATTCAAATACATACACAGAGGAAGATCAATTTACCTCCTCTAATCCAAAACATGTCATTTATGAAATATTAATTTTATTATGTTTCGTTATGGGCTTTTTACTATGACCTAATTTGCACCAAATTATGGGCTTTTTGCTATACCTTGGTACAATTAGAATCAAGTTAGCTGCGTTCCGACGACATCGGTGCTACAGTAATGACAAAGTTGACCTACGACACTGTTGACAAGGTTAGAACACCATATAAATTTCATTGCTCATATTTAAAATGTTATTTTTTTTCTATTATTCTTGATTAAATTAATTTTAAGTTATTAAATGTGTAGTTTCAATACCTAATTTCACTTATATGTGTCAGCATTTATTTGAATATGGATTAGTTTTAAATAAAATATTTGTAGCACATAACATATATATGTGAATTTACCAATTCCTCAATCCTTGTTTTCACTGAGATGTCTCACTTTTGACAAGTTTAACTGGCATCATATCTTAATTCAAATATATATCCTCCTGAAACAGGAAAATTGAAAATTCTAGTAAGTAACTATGGTAAAAAAAAAAAATGCTTCTTGCACACATTTGTGCACTTACTATGCATTTTTACATATTTGACAAACTTGATGCAGGCTTAATTCAAATTATTTTAAAGAAATACATTTATTTTTATCTTTTTTAGGTTTCTTTTCAAAAAAGTGATTATTTATCTAAATATAAGTCTAATACATGCATTTAATAAATAAGAAAATGGAAATTAAGGGAAACCAGAGTACACAACTGATAGGATACTCCCCATATAATATGACGGGCTCTTCAACTTCATCACAATGAAAAAACTTGTAACTTGTTTGATAGATAAAATAAGTTTTTTTTCTATTTTTTAATTAATAAAATATAATATTTTATTTTATTCTTTAATATAAATTTTGTTCTATGAAAAATTTAAATTAAAAATAGACAAAATAAAATAATTAAATATATCCAATCTACTAATTTAATACCGACTTAATGAAAAATAACATAAAAGTTTGTTCTATTTTAATCTTTTGCTATGTCCATGACTTATGTGTGTATAAATTCAACATATAAGTCATTATAGTTTAATGCGTGAACGGTGGTCCAGAAGATCATATTTCACTGTGATGACGTTTTCCTTTTCGTTTCCATTGGCAAAGAGCATATATATTATTAGCAGCATCTCATGATCTATGAAACTAATGATTACGATGTTGACGGATGGGTTCAAATTGGCGTAAAGAAAATTTTCATTTTTGAATTAGTTCTCAAAATGAGTTAAACATTTTTATTTTTTTTTTTACTACAATTCTTATTCGACTAATTAAATTATTATAAGCGGTAAAAAAAATTGAATATTTAATGTAATTATATTCATTTGGATTAAACTTAATTATTTGGATTTTTATGGAAAGCTGAAATAGCCAAATTCATAGCAATAACTGATAAAGGTGAAGGGTTGAAGGAGGACCACACTACTGTATTTGTTTGATAATTTCCAGAGCTTTCAGGAATCCAAGGATTGTTGAGGATCGAGGAACCCTAGATGCTATAATTACAGGCTCTGAAGGGACCCATTTGGTTAACTTCAATTCACCATATCCTCTTTTATGCTACCATCAAGGATAAGATGAAGCTCAGTCACACACTCAAGATTACCAAATATTTGGTGAGCCACAGTGCTTGCTTCATGATTCTCTGTGTCTTGCTTCACTGATCACTAGACTAGATTGCAAAAATTATTAGTATTCATTAATATTGACAACTGGCTATCACTTAAGACTTTGCACCTAAACAAAGTTTTTTACAACTGTCACTTGAGAACACCCAATAAACATACAAAAAATTTGTAATCCCTATATTAACAAATATTTAAGATACATCTATGTCACGAGCTTTTTCCATTTTCAGCAGATTACAGCACTTCAAACTTCCCCAATGAACCATTCGCTTGATCCAGCAATCTTCAGCTTCCTTTGAAAAATGTTGATAATCTTATTATAGGTTTTGTGCAATCTAAATTTATGAATTTTGATGAATATGAATAATGATAGATGAATGTATGAAAAGTTAAAAATAGGCAATGATAAAAGTGAAAAAGGGAAAAGAGAGGCCATAATAAGGTCCCCTTTTGGCGATGACAATAGCGCGGTCCCACGAAAATAATTGAATATTATATACTCCATTTTGTTTCTTTTACCATAAACGAACCAATTCCAAAGAGCATCCAGCGGAAAACAAAATATAAGTGTAGGTTGCATATTATAAAAATCATTACAAACTACGTTAAAACCCATTTTAAGAATCTATCGTTGTATTTTCAATAAAAAAATTATTTTAAATTTTTTGGTAAATTCCATAAAGCACCAATTAATATTTGTTCTTCTTAATTTATACCTTTCCATTCAATAAAAGAACATTTTTACATAAATTAGTTTTATTAAAGAAAATAATAAAATAATTTAAGCTTAATTACATTTTTAATTTAATGTACGTGAGATTTTAGTATTTTCTAATTTTAATTATTCATATTTAGTCATTTTAGATTTTTAAATGTTCAAATTAAGTTGTTTACTCTAAAATTTTATTCAATTATTACTAAAATAATAATGGAAGTATGTCATTTTATTGATTTATAAATATATATATATATATATAATATTTTAATAAAAATATATATAAATATGATAAAAATATTATTTTGTGTTTTTTATTTATAAAATAAAAGTTAAATAATTATTTTTTATTTTTAAAATGAGGGTAAAAGAACTTTAAAATTGAGTTAACATTAAGTTAACTCTATTTAAATCGAATATTATTTATTTTAAAAGTCATATTTAAAAATTAAAAATTTACTATCACCTCAAACCAACTCTTTTATTTATTTTCTTAAATAACACTATTTAATATGTAATAATTCTCAACCTTTTTTTCTTTCTTGTTTTTTTTTATATTTTTTATAATATAGACTAAATCAATTTTAATGTTGTTATTCTTTTTTATTTTGTTGAAAAAATTATATTCATTAAAGCAATGAAATATGTGTTTAGTTCAATTTCTTTAAAAGAAGTTTTTTTAAAAAAAACTTTTTGTAGAAACCTTTGAGAATCATTATTATTTAAAATAGTCAATTTGAAAGATACATTGAAATAAATTTCGTAATCAATATTTTTATAGTGAATAATTTATTTATTTATTTTAGTTTTTCATCTAATTTAATTTAAATTTGATTAGGTCATGAATTTGAATGTGATGAGTGAGTTTATCATTAAATATTTTTCATATAATTAAATACTTAAACTCAAGATTTTACTTAAACGATATTAAGCAGTTTGTCACTTGGACTAACTTTTACTGATTTTTTTTTTAAGATATTGTATGTGTTAATTTAATTTCTTTTTCTAACGGGGACTCGAGTTATTGGATCAAACCTTTCAATTAATTATTTTTTCGCACATTCAATTTGAGAAAAACTGTGTTACAAAAGTTCATACATAAATCATTGCACTCATACATGTTTTTACCTTTTATGACTAATTGGCGTGATACAATATAATAATGACTAATGATACATATCAAGGAAATCAATAAAATTATATGATATTAATCTTTGTTATATGATAAAAAAAAAATATCATATCCACTCCATTTTTGTCATTTTTTCCAAAACATTATTATAGTTAATAATTTTAGATACTTATAATATTCTCTTGTTAATCCTACTTGCTATATGAATATATTGATTTTTTTTTTGTGTAAGATTATTCTTATAATTCATTAATACTTTAGGACACTTACTAATATGTCCCAATGAACAAGACATGTAAAACCAATTTCAATCCCAGTTCCGAAGAGGAAGGGGTCAAAATGTCATAAATAGTTTTTAAATGTCAAGTTAACATAATCTAAAAACGAAAAACAAAATGTGATCAACCAAGGAAGGGATTACGCACATCAGAATCCAAGATCTTGAAAAATAATTGACTACAATGCAAGTTGGCCATCAGCTAAGTTATATTTTTTCGTTTTAGTCTCTCTTCGTAATATAAAATTGATGTGATAATCTCTATTAATTACATTAATAAAGAATTCAAAATTAAAAAAAAAACTTATAAAATTATAATGATCGAAATAAAAAACTCAAAATTTGAAAATATATTTAAACTTTTTTTTTTTTTTTGATAATCAGTAAAGTAGTTTGATAGCTGATATGATATCCAAAAGTTTCTTTTCTTGGTAAACAATACTGAATTCACATATTGTTATTTAAATTCCTAAGTTGGCAACCTTCTTTCTTTTTTTTTTGCAAAACATGCAAACGCATATATTTTAAGAAAATATCTTGAAATACAAATTTAAAACCCTTACATATTATCCTTTTTGCTGTCTTATATATATATATATATATATATATATATATATAAGTAAACAACTAGAAAATAAAAATATGGTATCAGTGACTACGATATTCAACTAAAAAACTTGCAAGATCAGACGTAAAAAGACAAATATAACTCGACATGCATGCATGGCAGCAAATTAAACAACAGCTTATCACAACATTTTTTTTATACTAAAGTAATTCATACGAGAACTATCCATTACATACTATCACTCTTATTGTATAGGAACAATTCAAACTGAGAAGAACTACAAAAGGGAAACACAAGAAAATGGAAACCTAAAGGCCAATAAGACAAACAAAAGCAACACAGCTCTATATATAATAACATAAAAATGTTATACACTGATAATTAAATTTTAGTGGCATTTGGGCTCAAATGCAAGAGGCCCAACAGTGTAGAGGAGGAAAGGAAGCTTCTCATGCATGAATGGCTTCTCTGGCCTGAGAGCAGAACCAGTGACACCACCGTGAAGATTAGAGGCTTTTAGTTCATTGGGTGCACTGAACAAAACGACTTCGCATTTGTGAGCTCCATAGGTGGTGATGCGCTTTTCTGCTTCAATGAAGAAGTAACCGTTCTTGTCAGTCTTGGCTGTTTGAACCAACTTGTACCTGGTGTTATTGCATTCAAGCTTCACAACGGCACCTACAACACAATTTCAAAATGAAAGCTTTGGTCATTTGTCGTTTATGAAAGAAGGTACATAACTAGTCATTTCACGGATGCCAAAAGTCCCAACATGCAATGTCCTGTTCTCAGGAACCGTGCAGCTTTAGTAAAACGACAGAGCAACTTTAGCAAAAAGCTTTTGAAATTCCAGTCCTCTCCCTCTTTCACCAGTCTCTATATACATCAACTTACAATTTCTTTTAAATTACAAAATAAATGTTATATAAAAATATTTATATAATCATTATCTTAAAAATGTAAAAAGTATATATATATTTTTTTATTTCTATATTCTCAAAACATAGACATTCTGTCAAGCTACCGATTTTAGTTAATTTTCCTCGGGCCTTCAAGTTAACGTTTCTCTTAAAAATAAGTCTTTCCTAATCATACTAAACACTACCCACAGAAAAAAAATACAAACTGAAGAGAAAAAAAATTCAATTTTTTTTGCGTTTCTAAATTAAAATTCCAAATTATTTTCTTTCCTTCCACCATCCCTAACAAAGGGTTCGTCTTGAACAAGATTTTGTATTCTGATTGAAAAATCTGTACGGACAAAGTGTAATATACCTAAAGAAAATTATTAAATGCATAGATCTAGAAACAAACTGCGCTAGGCTCTAGCCATACATTTTTTGCCACGGAGCAAAGCAGTAAAACAAAAAAACTATCATGAAGGTGAAGCGAACTTAAATCTAAGTAGTTCCTCAGCACACTAGCATTATAAACACACAGTAAAAATCCGGGATGGCCTAGAGTTTAAAAACAACGTAAATATTAGCAACAGCAACAGACGTTACAGTATAACACAATCATATTTACATTAGGTGTCAGCAAACAAAGTGAAAAACAATAAAAAAAAAATGTTGTGACGAGATCTAAAAAACTAACATTTGTCTGTAAGACATTATTTCAAATTTTTGGACTAGATACGCGGGTGAAGTGAAAAAAATGTACTTGGATTAAACATGTGGTTAACTAGGCAAATATACATTTTTTTCTTATGCTTTGAGCAGAAAGAGAAACAAGGTGAAAGCTTTGGAGCAGAGACTAACCGAGCAAGGGGGTAGCTCCCAAGAGGGTATCTTCCCCAGCATACTTGCAGGCCTTGACGTAAACAACACCTTGAACAGCCACAAAGCTTCTTGGGAAGGGATGCACCGGAACAGGTGGGTGAAGTGGAGGGTGAACAGGAGAAGTTGGTGGCTTAGCAGGAACTGGAGGATAATGTTGATGGGTTGGTGGCTTAGCAGGAGCTGGAGGGTAATGGTGATGATGAGCAGGAGGCTTGGCAGGAACTGGAGGGTAATGGTGGTGATGTGTGGGAGGTTTAGCAGGAACTGGGGCAGGAGGGTAATGGGGGTGTGTTGGGGGGATAGCAGGGGCAGGGGTATGGGGGTAATGATGAACAGGGGCAGGGGCAGGGGTATGAGGGTAATGGTGAACAGGGGCAGGGGCAGGGGCTGGTGGGTGATGGTGGTGTTGGTGGTGGTGGTGATGTGGATGAGGAGGGTTAACCGGTGGGTAAGCAGGGGACTTGACTGGGGGATGAAGTGGGGGTTGTGTGGGAGAGTGAGGGTGTGGTGATGGGGGTGGAAGAGTTTCAATCTCTTCAGCAAACACTGAAATGGAACTCACTAGAAGTAAGAGCAGTGTTAATGCCATTGCTCTAGGCAAGGGAAAGTGGGTTTAGTGAGAAAGGAAAGTGATGTTGGTGTTGTGTGTGTGTCTGGCAGGGGTTCATTTATAGGGGCTGATGCCGTGATTCTCTGCGGTTTTTGTTCATATGTAAACAAAACTTGTAAAAGAAAAATACATAATTTTTGCTTCCTTATCCGTGCTGGTGCTAGCGTGCGCCGCATAAGCAGGATGAGGAAAGAGGGGAAACTAGGGACATGGCTATGTGAGACAGGGAAATTTGCAAATTTTAGATCCGAGAATGAGGTTATTTGGTATTTGGAATGGTGGGATGCAACACTAGTACACTGGTATGGTTCATTTCGTTTGTTACTAGGATAGTGTGTTACTAGTGAGAGGAAACCGTAACAAGAAATAATGTAGTTGTTTTCAAGAAGTCTGAAAATGTTAAATTATTAAATATTTTTATTTGATTTTTGGTTAATTTAAGTTGTTAATAAAAATACTAATAACACAATATTTTAATGTATATATTTTTTATATTATTAAGTGAGCTACATGTAGTAAGAGGAAGCGATATTTGTTTAATTGTTTATGGAAATGGCAGAATGAATGCACATGCATAGGTGCCTGTTATCCAGTATTTGTAATTTTGCACTTCTTGCAATGCCTATATAGAAGTTTCCAAGGACTTCGGTAATAGCACTGCGTTTTCTTTATTACAAACAAGTCTTCCTTCAAATGTCTGATCTGATATGCCATTTATCGGTGGGAAAGAAAACAATAATTTAAATAAAAGAAAACAAAATAATAAAAAAGTAATACTTTGATTTGAAATGATGGAAAGAGGAGCTCGTACATCTTTTTAATACTTTTTTTAAAAGGTTTTTTATTATTAATTACAAATTATTAAAAATTAGTTATTATACAATACTATAAAACTGAAAAATGAATCGTTTTAAGATTCAAATTGAATATATATATATATATATATATATATATATATATATATATTATGCTTAAAAATAATATAAGAAAGTTAGTGATAAATCATGATTTAATTGTGTAAGTTGTCTTTATAATATTATATTATTTTTTTGCTAAAAATTATAAAAACATCACACAATTAAAAAAAATTCATTTTTATTTTATTCTTAATTATATATTAATGATGTATTAAAAAAACAAATATAAATTCAAAAAAGTAAAAATTTATTGTCTTTAAACTTTATTTAAAAAAATTTATCTTATTTTTTTCTAAAATTTTATTTTTTAAATTATTTTTTATATCAGTTATGAAAGAATTAATATAAAAATTCATCTTTTATATTAATTAAAAAATTAACTAATTTAAAAAATATTTTTTATAATAATTATTTTAAAATTTTATATTATTTTTAAATATGTTATTTTACTTTTTATTAAAGTAATTAATAATATTAACAAATATAGAAAATAGTTATAGAATATTCTTTTTACATTGACGTTAAGTTCAACCTAAAGAATAAAGATTAATAAAACTTTATTTAATTAAATAAATAAATTCAATCAAATATTTATTAAATTAAACTTAAATAATATATAAATAATTTAACTTATTTATATTTTTAATTATTATTATTTTATTATTATAACTATTATTATTAATACTTATCATTATTAATATTAGGACTAAAATTCTCTTCCGTTTTAGTGTAAATTGGACGATCTAGTAATGTATTTTACACTCTCGCTTGATTGGACCGTCTAATCATACAAAAAAATATTGATCCTTAATAATACTATTACAATTATAGTGACTATCGCTAGAATCATTATTAAATTACATTATTATCCCTTTCACTAAAATAGTTAAAATGTGATTTTATATAGTTTGATATTAATTTTTATATTAAAATTTTAAAATTTAAATTTACTAAACTTAAAAAACTATAAATTATAAAACTTGCAATTATTTTTATTTTTTAAAAATTTCAAAATCAGAACTATTAATCATATTAAATAAGACTTAACTATGCATTTGACATTATGTAATTTACGAGTTACCTTCTAATAAAAAACATAATTAAAAATTATGTATATTAAATATATAAGATTACTATCTTTTTTCATATTTGGACTAATTTGATATTTATATATTTTTTAGTTTTGTAACAGAAATAATTAAAAATTACATTATTTTCACTATTTTGTATTTTTAAAAATTAAAACTATTCTTTAAATTATAAGCATAAAACGTTTAACGGTATTAAGTAGGACATACAAGTCAAATTAGAAGTTTAAAGGTTAAAAAATTATTAATAAAAGATAAAGAAATTAAATAAGTAAAGTTAAATACATTTTAATTCCTGCAGATCATTTTATTTTAATTTCTATACTTTTTTTTACTTCAGTCCTTAATTAATGTAAACTATTCATAATTAGTTTTTACGGTTACTTAGTCTTCATCAATTTCTGTAAAAAAATTATGTTCTAATCTCTACTTAATTTAAATTAAAATATTCATTATATATAAAATATATATATATATATATAACATATAAAAAATTAATTTATAAATATCTAACCATATTAATACTTAATATATATATATTAACAAAGTAATATTAAATGATTATATATATATATATATAGAATTTTTGGCTTTTTATATTTTTTTGTAATTTATAATTTAATATTTGTATTATTTGGAATTTTTGTAATTTATTTTATTTACTATTTTATAAAATTAATAAATAATTTTTATAATTTCATTCTTAATAATTAATGCATGTTTAGTTAGAAAATGGATTTTTAAAATTTTGCCAATTGATTGAATGAATTTTGCTGAATAAAATTTTTTATTTTTATTTTTTAAAATTGTTTTAAATTTATATTTATATTATTTTTATTTTACATATATATATATTTAAGATTTATATATAATAAATATTTTATATTTAAATTTAATAGAGAATAAAATAGTTTTTTTATAAAGACTAAAATTAAATTTCAACAATTTTATGGTAACTAAAAATAAATTTAACACTTCTTTTAAGAGTACAATAACGTAGAGTTCTATTAGCCAAACTAGCAATTAATTGAGACTAAGTAATGAGAAATAGAATTTATAGAAATTAAAAGTGAAATTTGATGATTTGATAAAAATTTAAAATATATTAAATTCAAATAGATATTAAAACTTCAACATTAAGAGAGTAATTGAATTGATTATTTATTGTACATTTATTATATGTCTTGGTGGGCACTCCAAACCAATGTACATTTATGAACTGAATCAATATTTGACTGACATCCATCCAAAACGTGAATCCTCGTGCCTAGTTAATTGCCCTTTGCCAATACATTTGTTGTTACTTGTTAGAAAAATTTATAAAACTATTATTTTAGCCTTTAAAAGGGTCAAGATTTGTCATTTTAATCTTTGGAAAAACAAATGATGAGAACAACTTTAAAAGTGTATTTTGTTAACATTGTTTGATACATATTTTCATGTGTAACATTAAGTTTTTTGTATATGTTATCAAAACATGAATATTCTCTCCCTTATATTAAGCCCGAAAGCTATGGTATCACAAGTAGGTTCTTCTTATGAGCATGATTATCAAAGATTTGAGAAAGATATGTCGGTAACACCAACTAGCTTGATGAGGCCAACCATCGTATAACTCAATGTAGAGTCAAGAGCTTCCATATTAGAATGTTATTGATCTTAAAAAGGAATAAGATGCTTACACAAATAACTCATCATGTATTTATAACAAGAAAGGAAGCTACTTGAAGGAGGGATAGGCATGAAAGTAACACTAACTTAGTAGCAAACCTAATAAAACATAACTACATCCAACTTATACATAAATTATTCAAGATGTGTCTGATAACATAATTTAATTAAGCGTTCATTCAATAATTTTTTTATATGAGATTTATATTATAAAATTAACTATGAAAATCTTAAAATAAGTTAAAATGATTTATTTAAGTAAATAATATTAAAAATTATTAAAAGAAATCGAAAAGAGTTTAAGAACTGTAAGCCATTTCTATATACTCTCAATTAGACTTTCTAAACACACTCTCAGTACAACTACTTAAATAGCTCAACTTGATGATGCCAAACATTATACAACTCTATATAGTCTTGTGTCACAATTCATCACATTGGGGGCAGTTAATTACATCATATATGTGTGTTAGAGAGAGAGAGAGAGAGAGATAAAATCACTTTTACTTGACAATAGAAAAGCTAATTTAATCGTATAATTATATATATGAATGATCAAGATTAAAGGTTTTTTAATATTATACAATTAATAAAAAATTATGTAATTTTTTAAGAAAATTGACACAATTTATGTGTTTAAATTTTAATAATTTATATTAAAATATAAATGATAAATATAAACTATTATAATATATTTAAATAATAAAAATTAAAAAATAAATGTGTATAACTTTCAAAATATTTCCTAAACCATTAATTAACTTTTTATCACAACCCTTTAATATATATATATATATACTCTCCTCAAAGAAGTTCATAAACTATACATATGATGTTCTCCTAGTATTTTGAACAAGAACTATCATTTTTTTCATGAGAAAGTTAATATATGACCCATATTTATATTTTTAAATTTATTAGAAATACGAAGATTCTAGATATCTAAGCAATATGTAATTAATGTTAGAAAAATATAAGGGCTCATTTGATGTAAGAATATATTATACACATTTTTTTAATCAAACTTTTTTTATATCTTTGAACAATATTCTCTACGAAGGAAAATTCACTCCGCTGACTCCAATTTTAATCTTAACCATTTATTATGACACAAATAATTTATTTTAATGGTTAAACTCCTCTCCAATAATAATATCACTTTAATAACTCTAATCATATGTCTCAAAATAAATAATAAATAAATATTATTTAAGTTTATTGATATTTGATTTTTTTTATCATTATTTTATATATAAAAAAGATTAAAATAAATATCATAATAATTTTTTATAAAAATAATTAAATATCGATACTTATAATTTTA